CGAGTCAGAGGCAGTCCGAAACAGAGTCGCGTTCAGACAATTACTGCTAAACCTGATTGTATGTACTAACACTTTCTACTTCTCTGTATATATTCCTCTTTGTAATATATCTGTGTTATTCCATATCCGTGTTCGAGTTCTTCTTTATTGGTTCTACCTTGGACCATAACAATAAAGACGTGAAAAAAAGATTAATGCCTAATTTTGTATTTGATAATAAGATAAATAATAATTTAATTTATGGATGTAGTAACTGTCAGTGATACGTGATACCCGCTCGGGTGATCATGTATTTTTACTTACATGGCTGACGAGGCTGATTTTTTTCCCTGCACTAGGTTGCCAATGCTTTCTGGGTAGATTGGTTGCCAACCAAGGCTATAGGACTCAGTCTATCTTGCTCTTCAACTCGTAACTGGAAAGAGAAGAGATGGATTCATACCCTTCCCAAATGTATTTGTGCATTCGTGAATCTAAAGAACACGACTAGAATTCGAACTCGGCTTTACGAGTTCTCACTTCGAGTCGATATCCATTACACCACCACCACCACTTCTTCTTCTTCTTCTTCTTCTTCTTCTTCTTCTTCTTCTTCTTCTTCTTCTTCTTTGTACCGTGTCCCTTTAGGACGTTGGTGATCATGACTCTCCACAATCTCCTGTCCTTTGTACCTATTGATAAATGTTGATTTTTCGTTATCTCTCCTAAACCTTGTCCCGGCATCTGTTTCGCTCGAGTTCTCTTGGTAGGTTACGCGTTGATCTCCTCTGTCCCTCTTGCCTTAAGTCTGTCCTGTGAGTGTCAAATTTTCGAAGCCGTCTTTCCTCATTATGTGCGCTAGAAATTTCAATTTTCTCTTTCTGATTCTGAGGATAAGTTTCCTTTTTATTTCCATTTTTTTTTTTTACAAATTTTGTCGTTTCTTATATGTTCGATCCAGGGCATTCTCAGCATCCTTCTGTAGAGCCAGAATTCTGTTGCTTCGTCTGTTCTTCATTTGTGAGGTGATTGTCGAGCATTCACTGTCATATAGGAGGACTGATATTACTTAACATTTCGGGATTCTTTGTTTCTTGTGTTACGTAATAATTTGCTTAGCTTTTGGAAGGAATCTTTAGCTGTCCTTTGGATACGTCTTTGGATTTTAGTGTCGCGCTTTTCGTTCTCTGTTAAAGCTCTCCCCAGATATTTAAATTGTTGTATTGTTTGATATTGGTATCCCCAATTTGTATTTGCATTTTGGGCTGTCCCTTTTGCTAACAACCATGTCTTCTTGCAATTGACCGTTAGTCCTTTCTTCTCGCTTTTCTTTACTACCTTCTATAGCGGTTTTCTTTCGTGTCTGCTATCGACACTGTGTCGTCTGCTCTCCTATATTGTTAAGATTGTGACCGCCAATTATGAATCCTGGCAGGACTTCTAATTCTCTCAAAATTGTTTCACTGTACGGATTGTATAAGTCCGGTGAGAAGACACATCCTTGTCTTACACCGCTTTCTATTTTTGTATATCTGGTGAACTCGTTTTCTATCCGTATGTAGGCGGTTTGCTGCCAGTATAGGTTCTGGATTATTTTAATAGCCTTCCTAAATACGTAAAAGTTAACCGTTCTGACATTTTGTATAATCTATTAAACACAAGTCCCTATCCTTCTGCATTTGCACTGCTTTTCTGGTAGTATTCTGAACACAAATATTGCCTTCCTTGTTCCAGTGTCTTTAACGAACCCGCACTGTTCTTCTTCAATTTCCGGTTTAATTCTCCTGCGTACTCTATTCATTATATACTTATCTGGCTCATGTCAGAGGGTATCCCGCAGACGAGGTTTCTCGTCTCGGGAAAATGACTTCGTTTCTACGTGGTCTATAGGGAATTTTTTCCCGACCCTACGGGCTCGGATACCCCACTTTAAAACTCGGCCTTGTGCCACATCTTGATGCGTGGGGTAGTGGGTAATTTTTTATTTTATTTTTTTTTAGCGCGTAAATTACTCTTTTTGAGTAATTTCACGTTACTTATCATCTCTCAGTTGCGTCTCTGTCTTTGGGCAGAGTGCGGCCAGGGACTTCTCTGTCAAAGGACAGAGGAGAAACTGAGGAAAATCCTACTGAAGAGGTGCCCAGCCCTAGGGAACAGCTTCCCGAGGCTGTGCCCTCCCATTGCACCAGAGGGAGGGATCGGCGCTCGCACCGAGGCCAGCGCAACCGACGGTTGCGAGGGCAGAGGGGAATTTTTGTTCCTGTCCCGGGCGTATGCGCTCGGGTCCCCACCTAAAAATAGACCTTGTGTCACATCTTGTCCTAGTGGGGGGACAGAGTAAACACCGTGATCTATTCATCAGAATTCGGATGATAAGTTTTGTTATATGGCTCATTAGGGAGATTGTCCGATGGATTTCACATTCGTTTGCACCTGGCTTCTTATGCAGTGCTATAAAAATAGATCTAATTAAGTCTGCAGGTATATCAGCACTGTTGTTGATTTCATTTATTATGTCTGTAATCTTGTCTATGCCGAAATCATCTAATGCTACCAGCATCTCTTTTACAAATCTGTCTGGTCCTGCCGCTTTGTTTCTGTTCAACGGGGCCAGTGCAGCTTCCACAGATTTTAATATTTCCTGTCCCTCGATATTTCTGTGTATTGTCCTCTTTCGTCGTGGAAGAGTTCTCCGATATATTTGTTCTGTAACCGAAGTATTATTCTCTATATATGTTAAAATAGGTACATCAACGTTTTCGCTGAAAAACGGCATACATAGCATAATGAAAAAAGGACCCAAACTAAATAAAAACAAAAAAAATTATTGCCAAAATGTTTATGTTATTATTAAGAGGAAAGAACAAAGTGTTTTTTGATTATTTTTGTTTTTTAAAAATTTTTTACTTATTTCTAACACGTTCGAAATTTCGGTTAATTTTTTTACGTCACGGTTGACGTAATAATTACGATTATTGTTTTTGTGCTTTTTTTCCGGTGAAAAACACATTAATTTGGAAATTCTTGAAAAAAATAAATAATTGCCGGATTTTAATGAAATTTTCAGGACTTATTCACAAAAGCATGAAATAATTTTTGAAAATTTTCTTTTAGAAAATCTTGGAAATAAATATATTTTACATATGTTACCTGCCAATTAATTTTTTTGAAATTTCAAGAAATTAAACTGCAGTCACAAAATTTGTTTTATTAGTTAAAAGTAGGATTTCTTAAAACATGTAAATCATTTTTTTTTTTTCAAACTACTAATCATTTCCCGAAAATCTGCTTCAAATCGGAAATGAAAATTATGCAATAAAACTATGACATTTCTTAGAGAATGTAAATCATTATTTTTTTGTTGCAAAACAGGAAATCCAGCTACCGAAAATCTCTTCTGAATTGTAAAATAAAATTGCAATAAAACTATAACATTATTTAATTAGAAAAGCTTTTAATTGCTTTTATAAATAAGATTTATTAAGGACAATATGGTCTTAAGAAAAAAAATTTTCACTGAATAATGAATTTTTATAAGAATTGTCTTCATTTTGTTAAAAATTTAATTATAATAATTTATAATATAAATCTTTTCAAATTCTGTATTACAGCCATTGACTTATGTGATATTGTTATTAAGTGAAAACTATATTTACGAATCAATAATTGAAAAGCTCGTTAAAAGTCGTTTACACCTTATATTTTAAAAATTTTAATTATAATAATTTATAATATTATAATATATTATATTACTATAAGCACTTCTTCAATAGTATCTTATCTCCCACTTTCCGGTTGCTTTCTTTCTTGTCAAATGCGATCTTCAAAAATTGAAAGGTAATCGTCATCGTTTATCTCCCTTGAATCCTAGTCTTTAAATGTCCTCTCTCTTCTCAGTGTTTTCATTCTCAATTTGTTGTGTTGCACTCTCATCCTGGGTGTCTCTTGGTTGACGGGGTCAAGTCCACCACAAAGCTGCATTCTTCTCTCTCGCTCGTCTTCTCCCTGCCGGGTGTCGAAGTGTTTTTGGAGTCTGCAGATAAAAGAGACACCAACAAAGGGAATTTGAAAACATATCTATTTTATTAAACACGTCGATGTGTAAATTTTTAACTAGCCAGTGGGGTCGCTCTGTAAGTCTCACTAGGGAATAAGTTCCCCGGGACACGAAATAACCACGTCTGCATTCTTCGACGTGTAAAACTTAACTCCTTAGAATCACTTTCTATCTCTCTAACATTCCCACGTTCGGTTCAGTCAATCATAATGAACATCCATATTTTGTCAAACATCTGCCCTTAATGACCATTTCGGTGGTGGGGTGTAAACGGTAGTGTCAGAGCTATGCCGTCCGGAACTTCGTTCCTGGTAGGGCCACCCAAGGCGGACAGGTCTGACACACACGCCGGCTAACAAGGGCTCTGGTGAAAATCCAAGGAGCGTCTGCATCGGCAACCGGCGGCTTCTGGTCGTTCCTGTCTCTGCGTCTGTGGGAACCCCGCGGCAAGCAAGAACGTTATCCGAGTAGGCCTGGGTACCCCTACTTCTGTAATTTATCCCAAGAATCTTCTCACAACAGGAAGAAGCCGGATCAATCCGCCCAGGGTGAATGCCGCATCAGGACAGGAGGAATGACCATTTCTAGACTGTCTGATCCAAAATTCACTACTCTGAAACTATTATTTTACAAGTCGCCACTTTCGTATTTGTGGTTATATCAGCTTGCTTGGGAGAGGCGGAATTATTAAAATAAAAATCATAGTGTATTGCTATGAGTGTCATTACGCCACCAGATCACTGAAAGCTTTGAAAATACTATCAGAATAACATTTTCAGAACAAAGGCGATCATGGCTCTCCACAACTTCCCATATTTTCTGGCTCTTATCAGTTTTCCTCCTTTTGTCGAAGTTCCCGTTCCGTCATCCGTTCACAGAATCTCGCTGGGTAAGTGGCTCGCTTTCTTCCCCTATCTTTCTTGCCATGTGTATATTAAATTTTCCAAGCCTTTCTTCCTCGGGCTTACGGCCACATCACGTTGAAACCACGATTCCCGTACGATCACTGAAGTCAAGCAACGTCGAGCCTGGTCAATACCTAGATGAGTGACCACTTGCGGATACCAGGTGCTGTAAGTTTGGATGTGTGGGTGGTGTAATGGATAATGGCTCGTAATTATTAATCGGAGAGCCGAGTTCCAATACCAGTTGGGTTCGTGAAATTCACTTACACGCAAATGCCCTTAAGAAAGCTATGAATCCACCATCTTATCTCTTCACCCCAGCTATAGGTTAAATAATACGACTCGTATCACTAAATCATTATCACCAAAAAAATTCTGACAATTTAAAAAAAAAAAAAATTTAAGTTGGGTTCGTTATATTCCCTTACGTTCAAATACCCTTGGAAAAGGCATGAATCCACATATTTTCCACCCGCTCAAGGTTAATTAGTAAGATTTGTATCAATAAAATCATTATCTCCAAAATAATTCTTACAGTCTAAAAAATATTCGTCTGGCTTTAAAAAGCCTGCAAAATGTTGATAAACCGTAAAAAACAAATCAATCTTTCAAATTAAAGTTCCAATTCCAATCGAGTTCGTTATATTCTCTTACGCACATATACCCCTGGGAAAGGCATGAATTCACCAACTATGGATCAATTAGTAAGACTTTTATGACTAAAACCATTATTATTTCAAAAAAGTAAATAAATAAAGTTTCGTACAAAATATTTCGATTTCGGCATTAAATAACCCATAGAGATGTTGATATGCCGCTAAACAAAACAATGTCATTTCACATTATGTATCCAAGGAGTTTCGGCTGTCTTTTTCCTGGTTCTGAGTATAAGTGTTCTTTGTTGCTTATTCGCTCCATCCATAGAATTTTCATTATCCTTCTATAGAACCACGTTTCTGTTGTCTTTGTTTTTTTTCCTCGTCCGTGGCGAAGTTGCAATCTTATTTTTCGTCAGAATATATGTGGGAATGGCGTGTAAGAGTGAATTTGTAAGTTACTCCGGGAGCGAAAAACGGAGCGTAGAATTTTTTTTTTTTTTTAAGTTCCAATGAGCAAAGAAGAAATTTGGGATGAATAAATCTGTCTGCAGGAAATAGAATGGCGGCCATTGAAGTGCGTCAGCGAATAAACTGAAATGAGATTCTTCGATCTATCCATCCGTCTATCTACTGGTGTCAGTATTATTCTCTCTTTCTCACTGTTTCTCTCTTTCTTTCCCTTTGTACCCACCCACACGCTCTTTCTTACACTGTCACGCTTCTTTTTTTTAAAAAAATTCTTTCTCTTTCTTATTTTCTCTCTTTCTTTTCTTTCTGGCTCGGCCTTTTCTCTCCCCCTCTCTTCTTCTCTTGGTTACTTTCTCTTTGTTTCATCTCACTCTCTTTCGCTCTCACTTTCTCTTTCTCCTTCATTCACGCTTTCTTTCGTTCTCTCTTTCTATATCCACCCCCCCGTTGTGTCTCTCCTTCTTCTTTCGCTTTCTTTCTTTTTCACTCTTGTTCATTATCTTTCTCTTTGTTTTTCTGTCATTTTCTTTCACTCTTTCTTTCTCTTCTCTCTCCCTCTCTCTCTATCTACACACACACACACACACACACACACACACACACACACACACACATATATATATATATATATATATATATATATAGCTAATATTAGTGGTAAATATACACATACATATGCAAAATATATAAATATATATATATAGGTGCATACACACATACATGTATATTTTTTTGAATAATAAATTCCAAGAGGATAGAATCCAGGTAGAACTCAATGTCCAGGACAGAGTAAGGATATAATAAAAAGGCTTAAACACTAATATTCCATGGTCATAATTTATTCCAGTGGAATCGTAAAATATTAGTGGTAAATATATTTACGATTCCAATGGAATAAATTATGACCATGGAATATTAGTGTTTGTTTTTTTTTATATATATATATATATATATATATATATATATATATATATATATATATATATATATATATATATATATACATACTGTCAGTGTTTATACTGTTTAAACTGCCAGTTTACCCTGACAATCCACGTAGGTGAAACCTAGGTAGGTTTGTCTGGCTCATTAGGTTTACTTATTTTGTTCTACTTAGCGTATTGAGCACTTTGCTTAGTTATTTTACTATACTCGTGTCGGAGGATTTTTTGGGAGACTCTGAACTTTGATTCTAAACGATTATTTCCGCCGGAAGTACATGTTCTTAGTTCTTTCATTTTTCCCCTTTCCCCCCCTTGGTATTGGTTTGTTCATTTACAAGCTAAAACACCTAAGGTTTTGCCGGACGAGTATAGCTGCTTCATTATATATATATATATATATATATATATATATATATATATAGAGAGAGAGAGAGAGAGAGAGAGACTGCAATATATGCATAGCACTGTACAAGGCCATAAATGCAGGGCATTGAATAAGAAACGAACTTGCAACAGTAGGAATAATCTGAGAGATTAATTTTCTAAATATTGCTCCACGGTATGGTATTCAGGTGTGTCGCCCGATTTATCATTGAGAAGCATGCAAATACGTGAGTGTTTGTGTGTATATGTGTTACTGTGGATTAATAAGAAAATGGTCGTTAAACAGAAGAAAAAGAGATTGGTGAAGAAGAAAAAATGTCCGTGAAGAAGAAACAGGAAACAAAGAAGAAAAAGAAATCGATGAGAAGAAGAAGAAAAAGAAAAAGAAAAAGAAGAAAAAGAAGAAGAAGAAAAAGAAGAAGAAAAAGAAGAAAAAGAAGTAGAAGAAAAAGAAGAAGAAGAAGAAAAAGAAAAAGAAGAAAAAGAAGAAGAAAAAGAAGAAGAAAAAGAAGAAGAAAATCGACATTTAAAAAGAAATAGGATTTTAAAAAAAGCAAAAGAAACGGTGTTTGAAAAAGAACAAAGAAAATACAAATATCGATAGAGGAGAATAATGAAGAAGAAAAAGAAGGAGAAGAAGAAGAAGAAGAAAGAGGTGAAGAAGAAGAAGAAGAAGAAGAAGAAGAAGAAGAAGAAGAAGAAGAAGAAGAAAGATGTGGGAGAAGAGGCGGGGAAATACAGAGGATGGAGGAGAGAAAGTGAAATCGGGGAAAGATGTGGGAGGGGTGGAGGAAGGGGAGGAGAAACTGAGGAGGGGAGGCGAGAAAGTGAAAGAGGAGGAAGATGTGTGAGGGTCAGAGGAAGGGGAGGAGAAACAGAGGAGGGGGTGGAGAGTAAAAGATGTGGGAGAGGTGAAGATAGGGGAGGAAAGACCGAGGAGGGGGATAGCAGAGAAAGAGAAAGGGGAGAAAGATGTGGGAGAGGAGGAGGAGGAGGAGGAAGGGAGATAAGAAAAAAAGGCGGCACCTGTGAAGTGATGAATGATTGAAAATTAGCCGAAGAATTCACAAAGCGACAATGGCGTCTTTTCGTCGATCCGACCAACTAATTTAGCCGCGGGTTTCTTTCCAATGTACTCCCCTCCCCCCAGTTTATTTCTTTTGTCTGAACAATTGTTATTCGATGCCACTACATGCCCTAAAACTATCGGACAACGAACGTTTGGTTTGGAAATGCTGCACGCCATTCTTGTGCAATTTTTATTAATCTCTGCCAAAACTGCTGTTTGTTGTGAACAACGAAATCTCCTTACGAATTCTACTTGACCCATATATGACGATGCAGATAATCTGCGATTCCTGCAGGCGCTGAGGTAAAAAGAGACGGAAGGGATGGCATTAGAATATTTACGCAAATACTTTTTTATGTGTCGTCTCCCGTCAGGATGTAGGCGATCATGGCTCTCCACAATTTCCTGTCCTTTGTAGCTCTTAATAAATTTTGTCTTTTTGTTTTTTCTCCTACAACTTGTTCCACCATCCATTTACATAAACTCATTCCTCTTCTTGTATACGTCGTGTTCCTACAGGACGTGAGCGGTCAAGGCTCTCCACAATTTCCCATCCCTTGTAGCTCTTAATAAATTTTGTCTTTTTGTTTTTTCTCCTACAACTTGTTCCACCATCCATTTACATAAACTCATTCCTCTTCTTGTATACGTCGTGTTCCTACAGGACGTGAGCGGTCAAGGCTCTCCAATTTCCCATCGTCGTGTTCATACATGCATAAGGTCACTTTTGAGACGAACTTCTAGTTTAACCTTAACTATGTTTAATCTATGAAAGACTTCTTTTGCTATCGCATTATGCCATCGTAATTTGCTATTATATTATCCGTCGTCTGTGAAAACACTTTGCATATATTTAGATTTTCTTACTTGCTTGAATCTCGCATCTCCAATTCATGATTCGAAATTACATATTCTTAATGATATTCTATAGTGGGTTATCAGTTATAGTGAAGTGTATGAGTGTTGAAACATATTAGTTTAATTTGGCCTTGTTAGTTAGATAGCCCACCATAAGAGGGATATAAAACAAGAAAATCAAATTGTAAAGTGAAACAACAAATTTATGTACATATAAATCAATTAAGGTCTTTACAAATAAAATTAATGTATTTTGATTGATACAAGGTCATCAAAATGTTCGTAGTAGTCCTTGCAAGAATGAGTTTATATGTACGTAGGCAAGAACCTATGTGTGGATGTATGTATGTATGTATGCATGTATGTATGTATGTATGAGCGTTATCGACATGGCAAAAGCGAAGTGAATTTACATTTAAGGAACATGCATGCTTTACAAAGAATAAAATTAAAGAGTTAACGCAGGGTTTTATTTTACTTTTTTTGTACGAAATTAAAAGTGCGAAGGTTAGGATTATAGTGGGTCAGCCAATTTGTATTGGTTATAAATAGAAATAAAAACTGACCCTCTACAATTTTTACAATATCAAATGTAACAAAGACAACAACAAGAGAAATAATCAAGTAGAAGAAAATGTGAATTTGTTCAACAATAAATATTTTTTTATAAACACAACAAATACATAATATATAGTGCAAAAAGTTGATAAACACAATAGAGTTCTTTTGGTGTGTGTGTTACTGAAAGAATTTGAGCTACTGTACTGTATGTGTGAAAATGACAAGGTTTAGTTAGCTATATTTGTTTTTATAGGAAAATTAAACAGATGTTTTTTTTGTGTATTAAATAGAAAAATAAGTATTGCTCTTGACTCACTGATTGTTATCGCTCATTAACCAGAGATTCTTGTGGAATGGAATATTTTGTGGGAGTGAGCGTTAAGCCTGGAGATGGTTGACAAAGTTTGTTGTTGTATTGAAGATAAAGTTCGTCTCCTTTGCTGTGTTGATTTCCAATGAAGTCAAGTGAATTGGTTCAATATTTTAAGTGCCCACTGACCAAGTCGCGTCGAAGTTTCGTTTTTATTAGTTCTCTTGGTCACGTGGGGAGGCTCGTAAACATGTTTACATTTTATGGCGTCAACTAGAGGTCAAAATTTGGGTCCGTACCTTCGGACGTAGTTGACGCCACCTAATTAATATTTTACAACCAATCAAAATACATCAGTTGTTATATTTGGCTGGGAGCCTCTATGTGTTTAACTTGCACAAAATTTAAGATTTAAAAAAATGTAGGAATCTGATTCTACAGGATCTAGGTGGCGTTAGTTCGACATTACGCGACCCACGTTGACCAGATTGGGCAGCGGGAGCCAATAGGTTAAATAACAAGGTAGAATGCGATTTCTAGCCTTGAGTCTACGAGAAGGAAAATTCCAAACTGTAATGAATGCAACAGGAAACCACTCCACTATTTTTCCCAAGAACGCATAGCGCTTCAAAGATAATAAAGAAATAATAGACAAACTCTGGAGAGCCATAATCGCGTCATTAATGAACGGACATAGTCTAAGAAAAATGCATTGAAAACAATCTATTATTGAAATGTATACAACTGCAGATCAATATAGAAACGCATGGTAAATGACTTTACTATATTTTTAGAAGAGGTACAACTTCTGGTAACAGATTTAGAAACGGACATGTAACAAAACGAAATAAATTTACCCAAAACGAGGCATAACGATAGCAAAATAAATGGATAACCGTAATGTGGTAATACTGAAATACAAAATACCATTGACAAAAATGCAGCTTTAGCGGTTTATCATTTCTTTTTTTATTGGAGCACAACTGAAGACAAGAAATGCTCCAGTGACTAAAAATAAACGCCAAACAAGCAGACATTATGCAATAAATAAATTAAAGGCTAATTACATTTAAGCCTAACAACCATTCTTCTGTTTACAAAAAAACATGGCCTACTCAGTTCCGCAGCGATACACATCCACTTTTAGAATAATCATATATAGTAATTCATCGTATAATTCATACCAATTGTATTATTTTAAATTCCCCCCTTAGCAAAATTTCTTCACTCTATATCCTTGCTTGACCCAGCTAATGCTCGTGAGGAGCGGCTAAGGGTCAAGAAGTAGACGTGGATCTTGGGGTACTGTATCGAGGTTATCCGTATACTTGGATGAGTATCGCTGCGAGACTGAGGGAGTAGCGGCGCCACATCGAGTCTAAGTTTGTGTCTTTTTCGTCACCGAGACCCATTGGTACAGTTGGTATGGCGTTTGCGTTGTATCGTGACGATCCGGGTTCGATTCTCAGTAGTGGATGCGCACTGCTGATGAGTCCCAGATAGGACGAAACAGCCGTCCAGTGCTTGCTGCATTCTCCTAAAGATTATTCTGAGCTCGATGAAATTCTCTCTCTCTCTATATATATATGTATATATATGTATAATCACCTTTCAATCCCTGCTTGACGGTTGCGACGAGAATGAAGCTAAAACTTGTACTGAACGGTAAGGAACAACATGTACATTGGTTAGTAATATAAATTTTAGCTCTGTTATTTTACACTGAGCACTCTTTTATTACCACCAGCACTCACTGTTCCATAGTGTATGTGTGTGTGTGTGTGTGTGTGTGTGTGTGTGTGTGTGTGGTAGTCATCCAAACAAGTTTGATTAAAAAGAACAGGAAAGGTCTGTCTATTTAAAATTTTATCATATTTTTCCAATTTTCGAATAAGGTGTACGAAGTTCTTCATAAAATGTCCCAATATCTGTCTGTATTTCTGAGATGATGTATTGTAATTATTTACACTATTTACATTGTTTGGACTGTTGTCCTCATCTTTATTGCCATATTCATGACGTTTCAGATATTGTACGCTCCGGTCGTCTTCAGGTGATTGGAATTTCGAACAGAACTCTTTATTTCGTCCACTAGGGCAGATTGTTCTAGTTCACGTGGAATGCCTCTTCCGGATGTTCCAGTTATCTCCCTTTAATTAAACTCTTCAATTATACAGCGTTGCAGTAGACAGATTTTGAACTTATAACATCATGTACGTCGCATGTCGTGGCGTCGTGTTGTTATAAAAGTTTGAGCTGATGAAGTAAAGAAAGGAGCTCATGTGAACATTTGCCATGGAAATAGCGGTAGAGTCGTGATGGGTTTGCAACGTTGAGTCTGTGGACAATAAGCTGCATAGGGCAGAATAAGCCTCCCCGCATAGGACTGTGTAAATGTCCGAGCTGTAAATGTCTGGATTGGTGGAACTAAAGAATGGAGCTCATCTGAACATTTGTCAAGAGTACGAATAGGCTTAGCTGTAAAGGTCTGAACTGGTGGAACTAAGGAATGGAGCTCATCTGAACATTTTCCATGGAAATAACGATAGAGTAGAGAGAGGCTTAGTTGTAAAGGTCTGAACTGGTGGAACTAAGGAATGGAGCTCATCAGAACATTTTCCATGGAAATAACGATAGAGTAGAGAGAGGCTTAGCTGTCAAGGTCTGAAATGGTGGAACTAAGGAATGGAGCTCATCTGAACATTTTCCATGGAAATAACGATAGAATAGAGAGAGGCTTAGCTGTAAAGGTCTGAACTGGTGGAACTAAGGAATGGAGCTCATCTGAACATTTGCCATGGAAATAACGATAGAGTAGAGAGAGGCTTAGCTGTAAAGGTCTGAACTGGTGGAACTAAGGAATGGAGCTCATCTGAACATTTGCCATGGAAATAACGATAGAGAGGCTTAGCTGTAAAGGTCTGAACTGGTGGAACTAAGGAATGGAGCTCATCTGAACATTTGCCATGGAAATAACGATAGAGTAGAGAGAGGCTTAGCTGTAAAGGTCTGAACTGGTGGAACTAAGGAATGGAGCACATCTGAACATTTTCCATGGAAATAACGATAGAGTAGAGAGAGGCTTAGTTGTAAAGGTCTGAACTGGTGGAACTAAGGAATGGAGCTCATCAGAACATTTTCCATGGAAATAACGATAGAGTAGAGAGAGGCTTAGCTGTAAAGGTCTGAAATGGTGGAACTAAGGAATGGAGCTCATCTGAACATTTTCCATGGAAATAACGATAGAATAGAGAGAGGCTTAGCTGTAAAGGTCTGAACTGGTGGAACTAAGGAATGGAGCTCATCTGAACATTTGCCATGGAAATAACGATAGAATAGAGAGAGGCTTAGCTGTAAAGGTCTGAACTAGTGGAACTAAGGAATGGAGCTCATCTGAACATTTGCCATGGAAATAACGATAGAGTAGAGAGAGGCTTAGCTGTAAAGGTCTGAAATGGTGGAACTAAGGAATGGAGCTCATCTGAACATATTCCATGGAAATAACGATAGAATAGAGAGAGGCTTAGCTGTAAAGGTCTGAACTGGTGGAACTAAGAATGGAGCTCATCTGAACATTTGCCATGGAAATAACGATAGAGTAGAGAGAGGCTTAGTTGTAAAGTTCTGAACTGGTGGAACTAAGGAATGGAGCTCATCAGAACATTTTCCATGGAAATAACGATAGAGTAGAGAGAGGCTTAGCTGTAAAGGTCTGAAATGGTGGAACTAATGAATGGAGCTCATCTGAACATTTTCCATGGAAATAACGATAGAATAGAGAGAGGCTTAGCTGTAAAGGTCTGAACTGGTGGAACTAAGGAATGGAGCTCATCTGAACATTTGCCATGGAAATAACGATAGAGTAGAGAGAGGCTTAGCTGTAAAGGTCTGAACTGGTGGAACTAAGGAATGGAGCTCATCTGAACATTTTCCATGGAAATAACGATAGAGTAGAGAGAGGCTTAGCTCTAAAGGTCTGAACTGGTGGAACTAAGGAATGGAGCTCATCTGAACATTTTCCATGGAAATAACGATAGAGTAGAGAGAGGCTTAGCTGTAAAGGTCTGAAATGGTGGAACTAAGGAATGGAGCTCATCTGAACATTTTCCATGGAAATAACGATAGAATAGAGAGAGGCTTAGCTGTAAAGGTCTGAACTGGTGGAACTAAGGAATGGAGCTCATCTGAACATTTGCCATGGAAATAACGATAGAGTAGAGAGAGGCTTAGCTGTAAAGGTCTGAACTGGTGGAACTAAGGAATGGAGCTCATCTGAACATTTTCCATGGAAATAACGATAGAGTAGAGAGAGGCTTAGCTGTAAAGGTCTGAACTGGTGGAACTAAGGAATGGAGCTCATCTGAACATTTTCCATGGAAATAACGATAGAGTAGAGAAAGGCTTTACTGTAAAGGTCTGAACTGGGGGAACTAAAGAATGGATCTCATTTGAACATTTGCCATGGAAATGGCAAGTGTAGCAAAAGACTTGCGACATTGAGTCTATGGGGAAAGAGGTTGTAGAGTGGGAAATACTTCATCCCTCACGAGAACACGTAGATGATTCAGAAATTTATCAAAGCTAAAAAGTGACGATTGAGCAGCTCTACTCCATACATGGCAGCAGTAATCCATTTTTGGTCTTGTAAAGATAAAGCATGGCAGGAGTTATGTACTTTTTGGAACGAAAGAATGATTGTCTGATTCCATTTTTACGGTTTATCGATCCTTTGCAGGTTATTTAAAGCCAGAAAATACTTTTAAATTTTAAGAAATTTTTTTTTGAGATAACAATGATTTAGTGATACAAGTCTTACTAATTAACCCATAGCTGGGAGGGAAGAGGTGGATTAATACTGTTTCCAAGGTTATTTGCGCGCAAGCGAATATAACGACTCCGACCGGAACTGGGACTCTGCTCTCCGATGAACAATTCCGAGCCATTATCCAGTACATCACAACACATCCACGCTCACAACACCTGGTATTCCCAAGCGGCCACTCATTGAACTACTGAGCATGCACAACGTTGCTTAACTTCGGTGATCGCACGGTAGGGTAGCGTTGTTTCAGCGTTATGTGTCCATAAGCCCGAAAGAAGTAGTATCTTAAGCAATAGACTTTTTCTCATTGGCTTTATCCAAGAATTTAAGTTTTTCTCTGCTGATCGCTTCCTTCATGACAATGGCGTTGATGGCTAAATTCGTCGCTAACGTGCAGGTTCAGGACTAGAAATCCAGCTCCTGTCATCCATTCTCTATCACCGTTCGGCTTTGCAACTGTTGAGTGGAGTAGAAGAAAGTGCGGATGGTTTGAATTTGTTTAAGGTGGACCGCAACTTGCCAGGGAGTGACCCACACATTACTTCCATAACCTTCCTCCGCCGCACATATGAAATGAGACGTGCAGATGCCAATTATGAAACTGCAACGGACTGCTGCTGACTGTTATAATATCGTGTGGCGCCTTCTGTAGCATGTCCGTGATGCGTAGCCTCTCATCCGCTAGTTCAAATGTTGAGATCTATTGTAATCATCATCCGTTTGTTCCACCGTTGTATGGGGCGTTGCGGTTGGTTGCGCTTAGTTTGAGCCCTCGTCTTTGATTGTGCCGCCAAAGCTGACCCTACCAGGTGTTTAGAACTCCTCACGGCTTGCGTGGTCCAGTGACTTCAGAGTCACTGGACTACGCAGGCCCGTCCATCACGACAAGGAGCGACCATCAAAGGTATACACCATCCTAGGCCCCTCTCTATTCCTTATCTACATAAACGACCTTCCTGACGCCATACATTCCCAAGTTGGCATCTACGCGGATGACACCACAATTTATTCCTGCCTCAAAAACAAATCTAGTGTCACTGACAAAACTAACCTGGCCGTGCGTCTCGAAAAGGACCTCCAATCGGTTGTGAAATGGGGCAGGAATTGGCTGGTCAACTTTAACGCTTCAAAAACAAAACTGCTCTCTATTAATCACCACAGAGATCCTTACCTGCCCTCCATTAGAATGTCTGACGCTCAACTTCCCGAGAGCAACTCTCTGCGGCTGCTCGGTCTCACGTTGACGGCTGACCTGAGATGGAACAAATACATTGAGTCAATTGCTTCGTCCACCGCAAGGAAAGTTGGCTCCCTGTGCCGCGCCAGGAAATTTTTCACCCCGGGATCGACCTCCAGATCTACAAATCAACAATGGAGTATTGCTGCCATATATGGTCTGGTGCCCCTTCTGTTTGCCTCGGGGTTCTTGATAGGCTCCAGACGCGGATATGCAATATAATTGGCCCTGCTCTGGCATCTCGTCTACAGTCGCTTTCTCACAGACGCACCATCGCCTCTCTCTGCCTGTTCTACAAATACTTTCAAGGTAATTGCTCCGAGGAGCTGCATTCGCTGGTTCCCAGACTTCATGAGTTCAAGCACCCTACGAGGCTGGCATCCCGCTCTCACCCCTTCACTGTCGAAACTCTTAAATGTAGCCGTCTCTTCTACTCCAATAGCTTCATGTCTCGCACCTCTCTCCTGTGGAACTCCCTTCCCTATTCCAGTTTCCCCGAGAGCTATAATCTCCAGCTATTCAAGTGTAATGTCAATCGACATCTCCAGTTGCCTTGATCTATCCACTACCCTTCTCCTTATACCCTCTTCTATCACTCCTATCTGATCTCGCTCTATATTTTCTGTAACCCTTTGCATCCTAGTGGCTTCCCGCCTTGCTTGGGGTGAAATGCTTTAATATATATATATATATATATATATATATATATATATAAGTGAATTCCACTTGATCTTGGAATGAACTTGACAGTCAATATACGCTCAAAGCGTAGAGCTTACGCAGTGGCGGCGAGATGGGTTGGGTTCTAGCCCTCTAATCCCGAGGGGCCTCAAGAAAATATCTTTAGGGGCTGGGGGACTTCTTTACAGAAGGTGGAGAGCAAAATTACGAACACTAAACCCAGTTTCAAAGCAGCTTAAAAGTGCATTTTTCGAGCTTTCATTGAAGCAAAATGTGTGATGAGGTCTAATTCTCGTGCCAAATCGCATTTGATCGCAATGGTTGCCAAGTAAGACACGCTCTTTAAAAAGTCTTGTAAGATACGCTAGATCGAGTTTGTTTCACCCAAAATCTCTTTTTCCGACCGTTGGGGGGGGGGAGGCCTCAAAGTAATCTGAGTGCCGGACCTCAGAAATTCTCTCCCTGGTACTGAGCTTACGAACATTTAAACTGACAAACACACCCAAAAAAACCTATCCGGTTTGTAAGTCGATGAGTTCCTGTAATTAATAACAATATTTATTTTAGTGGGTTGAGTTCAGCCCAAGGCCAGTTTGCTGGTGGCGCTGGGAGGATCCAAGCAAGAAATAATATTGACTTTAGAGGGTGGGGTAAAAAAGGGAGAAAAAAATTCGCTACATTTTTTCTTAACCCAGTTTCATGATTTGTGGGTGTATACGTGCGTACATGCACATTGACTATGGCAAACCTAAATTTCTTTGAATTATAACTCACCAAGCTTACTAACCAACTGTTGGTAGAACTAGGTAACCTTGACATATTTGGGAAGGATATTAGAATGATCCAGAACGTATACTGGCAGCAAACTGCCTTGATACGTATACAGTGTAACCCGGATATAAGAGAAACCCGGATATAAGAGAGATTTTCACTGGTCCCAAATTAGAGCCTGTGTTAATGTATATAAATATATATTGTTGTATCCGAAAAATGCCATTGGAAATGAGTTAATACATATATTTTCGTTGTCCTCTTATTACTGAGAGAAAAAACAAGAACAACATCTATTCCATACTTGAAAATGTCTGTAGGAACAGACGAAAGCTTGTAGTAAAAATAAGAACTAATGCAGCAGAAATTTATAGAAACAAGGATCTTTTCATTCATAACAGGTTCGGGGGTTTTTGTATATTATTTGAATTGTTTGCGACGATGGATTTCTCGCCAATTAAATCATTAACCTTTGCATTTGTTTTTGTATGAATAATTCATGAATATATATATATATAAACAATTAAGTAAATATATAAAAATAGAAGGTGATTTAAGACAAGGATGTGTCTTCTCACTGGGCATAGTGAACCTTTTCGGTGAGGCAATTATGAGCGAATTGGGAACTCTAGGAGGGTTCATTATTGGCGGATATAATCATAGCAATATCAGATATATTTTTTTAAGCATTTCATCCCAATCAAGGGGGGGGAGTACCACTAGCACGTAAAGGGTTACAGAGAGTGAGATCAAAGAGTAAAGATTAAAGAGGAGTATTTGAGAAAAGGATAAAGAGAAAGACGAAGGTCAGGATCAAGGCATCAGATGTCAATTGACATTACATTTGAAGATTTGAAGATTTTAGTTATCAAGGAATGTTCCATAAAATGTGTTTGTTAAATACAAGTTTATTTTCCTTAAATTAATTTTACTCCAATTTATTAATTACTCACATATTTTAAAATGGTTTATTATGTGTTATTTTACTAGTATACATCATTTTTGAAAGCATTTCTCCCAAGCAATGCGGGAGTGCTACTATCATCCAAGAGGTTACAGAGAGTGAGATCAAGAGAAAAAGAGAAAAGAGAAAAGACGGGTGTTTGAGAAAAGGATTAAGAGAAGGACGCGAATCAGGATCAAGGCATTAGAAGATGTCGAGTGACATTACATTTGATATTCCATAAAATTTGGTTGTTAAAAACAAGTTTATTTTCATTAAATTAATTTTACTTCAATTTATTAATTAAAATATTTTATTATGAGTTATTTTACTAGTGTACATAATTTTTAAAATTATTCCACCGTAAGCAAAACGGAAGTGCAATTAGCACGCAAGGGGTTACAGAGAGTGAAAGTAAGAGTAAAGAGAGAGGGGTTACAGAGAGTGAAAGTAAGAGTAAAGAGAGAGGGGTTACAGAGAGTGAAAGTAAGAGTAAAAGAGAGGGGTTACAGAGAGGAAAGTTAAAGAGAGAGGAGTTACAGAGAGGAAAGTAAGAGTAAAGAGAGAGGGTTACAAAGAGTGAAAGTAAGAGTAAAGAGAGAGGGTTACAGAGAGTGAAAGTAAGAGTAAAGAGAGAGGGGTTACAGAGAGTGAAAGTAAGAGTAAAGAGAGAGGGGTTACAGAGAGTGAAAGTAAGAGTAAAGAGAGAGGGGTTACAGAGAGTGAAAGTAAGAGTAAAGAGAGAGGGGTTACAGAGAGTGAAAGTAAGAGTAAAGAGAGAGGGTTACAGAGAGAGGAAAGTAAGAGTAAAGAGAGAGGGTTACAGAGAGTGAAAGTAAGAGCAAAAGAGAAGGGGTTACAGAGAGGAAAGTAAGAGCAAAGAGAGAGGGGTTACAGAGAGTGAAAAAGTGTAAAGAGAGAGGGGTTACAGAGAGTGAAAGTAAGAGTAAAAGAGAGGGGTTACAGAGAGTGAAAGTAAGTGTAAAGAGAGAGGGTTTACAGAGAGTGAAAGTAAGAGCAAAGAGAGAAGGGTTACAGAGAGTGAAAGTAAGAGTAAAGAGAGAGGGGTAACAGAGAGTAAAAGTAAGCGTAAAGAGAGAGGGGTTACAGAGAGTGAAAGTAAGAGAGGGGTTACAGAGAGTGAAAGTAAGAGTAAAGAGAGAGGGGTTACAGAGAGTAAAAGTAAGAGTAAAGAGAGGGGGGTTACAGAGAGTGAAAGTAAGTGTAGAGAAGGCTGTTTGAGGAAAGGATATAGAGAAGAATGGGGCAGGGGGTGAGGTTCAAGGCATCAGAAGATGTCGATTGACTTTACATTTCAATATTTGAAGATTATATCTATCAGGGAAGCAAGTAGAAAAAAGGGAGTTCCACAGGTGGGAAGTGCGAGAGAAGAAGCTGTTGGAGTAGAAGAGGCGGTTATATTTAATTGTTTCAACAGTCAAAGGTTGAGACCAAGATGCCAACCTAGTAGCACGCTTAAATTCATGCAGTCGGGGTACCAGTGAAAGTAGCTCGTCAGAGCAGTTGCCATGAAAATATTTGTAGAAAAGACAGAGGGAAGCCACATCACGTTTGTGAGAAAGTGAGTGTAGACGAGAT